AGTGAAACAGTTTAGGCCGTTTGCCACGTCCCGATATCGTTCACTTTCATTTCACACGTATTGGAACTAAAATATTTTAAGGGAACTAACACTTTCGGGCAAGCTGAGTTCAAATCCGAAAAGTTCCCGTCCCGCAGACCTGCACTTTTCTCACAAAGTGCAATTTTATCTTCACTAATTTCACGACAAATTTTTTCATTGTTCAATGACACGGATCGATGACGACAAACGATTATGTCACTCAAAAGGACCAATTTATGTTAACCAGCATTCCTTTTAACAAAAGACCGTTTTGCTCGAATCATTTTGAGTTATTATGCATGTTGGACGTAAACAACATATCTCGTCTACAACTTTGAAAATTACAGATAACACTTTCTAGAATTCTCAGTTTTAGACTATTAAATACCCTTGTTCATATCAAAGACAAAGTTCAGTGCCAAAGTATAAAATCTGCTCTGTAAACTTACGACGAAGTGGAGAAATGTGGCATGTGCTGGTAATTTCAACGTATACGGAAGACCTCTTTCCAATAATGTTCGTTAATCGCACAGAATCTGAACACCGACTGAATTATCTCGCCTTCGGCGAATAATTGTTAATTATTAGGGTCGTGTAACATTTACTATAAGGTGCGAATGACAAAACTGTAGGGAGCCTCCTTTTGGAGAAACTACAAACCATTGTTGCCGAAACGCTAGTTCCGAGTCGGCATGTTTGTCATAGATCGGTAAGATAAACCAATTTTCTTGAATAAACTGTTTTAATCAATTAGCTTAATTAATGCACTTGTACATTTTTATATACAGTACATTTATGTTGCATGTCATTTAACTCATACTTCTAGATTGAGGGCCACTAAAGTTTATTAGTTTGTAACTATTCTGTGCTATCCTCATTAAATAAAGAGTTTACTTACTTATATATACTTACTAAACAAATTTATAGTAAATTACTTCTCAGTAAAGAGCTTATTAATCATATAACGACAGACTGGCTAAAATCCCCTAACAAGCCTTACCCGCCTTGTTGTAATATGCCATTCATTCATTGAAATAATAGGTGAGATAAATTTTAACACCATTCGTCCTTTTTTCAACTCCTAGTAAAATGGAAAACATTATATACGAAGCGCTTGTATATGTTTAGAATTTTCTTAATGTAACTTGCAGTCTTTCGATCAAGATAATTTCCCTGGTTATTTAATAATTTTTGAACGGACTTCACTTGGATTACGCTGATTGGACTAGGAAAACCTGGTTCAGTTAACTAGGACAATGCTTGATGGAAATTCATATACCGCACCTGCATCTTCCGTTTAGCATAGTGTGATCGATTCAAGCATGATTTCTCTAATTTTAGTTGGCATAAATACGCATTAAAAAAACAATTCTAATTAGCTAAATGAAGAAGAAGACAATAGAGCCTGCAGGAAACTCAACGACTTGACTTGCTGTACATGCATATTAATGAATAACATTCAATTGAAATACGCGTAATGTTTATTGAAATAAGTTTTTAAGAAAAATGAAATAGCAAGGCAAGATTTTTTCTGTGTTGGTGTAATGTACTCAGGTGAATATGATGCTTGTGATGTTACTCTGAGTGTATATCCACACCGGGCAAGCTTGAAAAATATGCCTGTCCACGGTGGGAATCGAACCGACGACCTTTGGAATACTAGTCCAATGCTCTGCCAACTGATTTACGCGGTCAGGTCGGTTCGAAGCGACCGCGTAGGTCGACTCAAACCGACCTGACCGCGTAGCTAATATTCAGAGCATTGGGCTAATATTCCAAAGGTCGTAGGTTCGATACTCACCTTGGACAGGCATTTTTTTCAAGCTTACCCGGTGTGGATATACACTCAGAGTAACATCACAAGCATCATATTCACTTGAGTACATTACACCAACACAGAAAAAATCATGATTACTAGATTACATTGATATCGAAGGAACTAGATTCTGTTCCGAAAATCACATACGCGAACCGACCTGACCGCGGTGCTCAGTTGGCAGAGCATTGGGCTAGTATTCCAAAGGTCGTAGGTTCGATTCCCACCATGGACAGGCATATTTTTCAAGCTTCACCGGTGTGGCTATACACTCAAAGTAACATCACAAGCATCATAACCAGGCAATTTACAATCGTTGTTGTTGGAGTACAAGAACGATTTATAAAGGATCGGAAGATCTGCATGAGGAGAATGAGTGCGCTCTCGATCGTTGCGTTCCACTATTTGAATCGTTTTTATTTAGGAAAGGTGGGAAGAAAATGAAGTTAAATCTGTTTCATCAACCGCATCATTATCTCGAACACGTTCAAAGGTAAATCTATAATCATGGTTGGAATACACAGAACCCCCCAATTTGTGTGTTTTGTATGGCCGAAAAAGTTTTCCCCGAGCCAACGGCGCGGAGCGCCGTTCCGGGCGTAAGCCTGGGCGAGGGTACTAATTCCGCCCGGCTATATACATCCCAGGAAAGGAAAGCATTAGAGCAGCTGGTAAATTTGTTGTCACTGTGCAGAGAAATTGCTGGCGCACGTGATAATTTTACAAAAATTCGAAAATTTGAAAAACAACACTAGTGAAATTTCAACTTATGATTTTGCATTTTTAAGACGGCGATCAAGGAAATTAAATTGTAGGAAAAACTTTACTAACATCTCAAGTATGGACGATAAAGTTACATAGCTAGGAGTTGGCGTTGCCTTTTATTCTCTTCGAATATCCATTTATATACATCCCAGGAAAGGAAAGCATTAGAGCAGCTGGGAAATTTGTTGTCACTGTGCAGAGAAATTGCTGGCGCACGTGATAATTTTACAAAAATTCGAAAATTTGAAAAACAACACTGGTGAAATTTCAACTTATGATTTTGCATTTTTAAGACGGCGATCAAGGAAATTAAATTGTAGGAAAAACTTTACTAACATCTCAAGTATGGACGATAAAGTTACATAGCTAGGAGTTGGCGTTGCCTTTTATTCTCTTCGAATATCCATTTATATACATCCCAGGAAAGGAAAGCATTAGAGCAGCTGGGAAATTTGTTGTCACTGTGCAGAGAAATTGCTGGCGCACGTGATAATTTTACAAAAATTCGAAAATTTGAAAAACAACACTGGTGAAATTTCAACTTATGATTTTGCATTTTTAAGACGGCGATCAAGGAAATTAAATTGTAGGAAAAACTTTACTAACATCTCAAGTATGGACGATAAAGTTACATAGCTAGGAGTTGGCGTTGCCTTTTATTCTCTTCGAATATCCATTTATATACATCCCAGGAAAGGAAAGCATTAGAGCAGCTGGGAAATTTGTTGTCACTGTGCAGAGAAATTGCTGGCGCACGTGATAATTTTACAAAAATTCGAAAATTTGAAAAACAACACTGGTGAAATTTCAACTTATGATTTTGCATTTTTAAGACGGCGATCAAGGAAATTAAATTGTAGGAAAAACTTTACTAACATCTCAAGTATGGACGATAAAGTTACATAGCTAGGAGTTTGCGTTGCCTTTTATTCTCTTCGAATATCCATTTTCATTCGCGGGTTACTACATGCAACTTGTTGGTCTCATAGGTGCCAAAATCGACATAAATATAAACGGGTAACCAAGGACTATAAAACAAATAGCTTTTCCAAAAGATAAACTTTATTCAGTCAAAACATGCTACTGCGTGATAGTGATTTCGAAGCAACTTTGTCACATATATTTTAAAAAGTGGGATAATGAATCAATTTTTTAAAAATTTTTTGTTATTTTCCATGTGTACAATAATAAGTAACAAAACTATGTGTAGTCCGAAGGTGTTGGGCTAGAGACCTACTGGAAACCTTTTCAGGCGTTTTAATGTAGGCCACTAGTTACGTAGGTTTGTAAAAAAAATGCATATATATTTACAGTGAAGAATAATTATTGAAGTAAGTTTAAAGTATATATACTATTTACAAAAGAAGGATATTATATCATAATGTACAGTTACAAGATTACACAATTTTCACTATAGAATTATCGGTTGCTGTATATCTGTGATCATTGCATCTCAAACTCATTAATAATTCATGAGCAAATTAGCGAATGAACTCTCCCTAATTCGTCACATGATTGAGGTTGGATACCGCAGGAAACACGCTACGAATCATATACCATCACTGTTGTTAGATGAAAAACGGTTTTCATCTAATAACTGAGATCCTAATTACAAATTCAAGTCAAAACACAACAATATACTATAATAATATATATAAGCCAATGAAATGTTTTCGTTTGAGATGTTGTGTAAACAACTCGTTTCTCGTGTTTCATCAGGGGACCAAACACTCGAAAACAATAAAACACTCGCGCTTCGCGCTCGGTTTTTCATACAGTTTTCTCGTGTTTGGATCCCCTGATGAAACACTCAAACTCGTTGTTTACATATAACATCTAAGTTGAAGATGGTCTGGCTTACTATAACATGTTGTTTACTAATCTTTTGTAAACATTGTAACAATTTATTCTTTTGAATTTTGTATCTGATGTATTCCATCTGAGGCCGCAGGTTTTAGCCTGCTCGCAGTCCGAATTTGTTGCGAAATTCAGTCTGCTGATCTGGGAAGTTAATCGTGTACAGTGATGTATTACTTACGCGAAAATAAGTAGTTGTTTGTGATTGGCTTAACAAGGGTTGAGCCGTAATGACAATCTAACGCGATTTATGATTGGCTTGTTTTGTTGAATTAATGTTGGCATGAATTATCCCCTGTATAATCGTTTTAACGTTTTTAAAAAAACAACATGGCGCCGAAGTGTATTCCAAATGATTTTTGGAATAATGCCCTAAAATGTGCCGGAACTGTGTCCTGAGCAAGTAGAGACGCTGGAGAAATACTTTTCAGGCGAACATGTGCATGTTAATCTGCCCACATCGTTTGGAAAGTCCTTGATTTTTCAAGCTGTCCCTTTGATTTTTGATGCCGTACGATTTCGACGCAAGGGTAGCAGCATTATGGTTGTAATTTCTCCGATGACGTCGTTGATGGAAGAACAAGTTTCTTACCCCAATAGTTTGGGAATACGCGCCGTTTGTTTTACAGATGAGTCCAAAGACAAGTTAATACAATATGTAATGCAAGGGAGATACTCTCATGTGTATGCAAGTCCCGAATGCCTTCTTGCGACTAAAAAGTGGAGAGGAATATTTGCTTCAAAGACGTTTTTAGAAAATCTTGTTGGAGTAGCTGTAGACGAAGCACATTGTATTCATCAATGGTAAGTGTTGTGTTATATTAATTGTAAACCAGTTTCATATAATCATTAAATCATGTTCGGGTTTAAGGCTAAACATTTATATTAAATAAATCCATCTGTGAAAAAGCCATACAGCACTGTTCATAAACATACTGAGGTCGAGTGCTTCAATTAATCATTGGATCCTAATGTAATGCATACAGTATATTGTATTAAATATTTTATAATGATAGGCCGGGGTTTGTATTATAGGGGATATGGATTCTCAGGTGCTGGACTGGGAAAACAAAGCATTCCATTTTGACAATGGTATGGGAATTTGGGAGAACTAAGATCTCTTGTACCATCAGACATAAAGTTTCTCTTCTTGACTGCAACAGCAACTAAGTCTACAACAGAATCTATATTTGACAATCTACGTCTATCTGTTAAAAACACCTACACTGTTCAGAGGAGTCCCAACCGAACTAACCTATATTACAGCGTCCAATACATTGATATCAATATGCCTCTTGAGATTGTTTTCTCATGGCTTATTGATGAGCTGAGCAGAAAAGGGATTAAAACTGATCGTGCACTGATATATTGTCAAACTCGCAAACAGTGCGGACTACTATTTAGAATGTTTGAATTTAAATTGAAGGATAAATTTTATCATATATGGCACCTCCAATCCTCAAAACAGATTGGTTGAAATGTACCATGCTGGTACACCCAATTCTGTAAAAGAACATGTTTTTTGTGACTTTGAGCATGAAAAAGGGCATGTCCGACTCCTAATTTCCACTATTGCTTTTGGCATGGGTGTTAGTTGCAAGTGTGTGCACCAGGTAATCCATTTTGGACTTTCCAAGAACATTGAGTCCTATGTGCAAGAAAGCGGACGTGCTGGTCGAGATGGAAAGGGTAGTAACTGTATTGTGTTATATAATGGTTTGCTTTCCAGTTATTGCGCACAAAGCATGAGGAAATATTTGAAAAATGAGAACCTTACATGTTTACGGTCAATGATTATGACAGAGTTTGACTGTAGTACTACACTTGGAACTCTTCACGAGTGTTGTGATATTTGTGCTGCGAAGTGTCTATGTGGAAGTAATGAATGTGGTACAGCAGCATTTATAACTGATGACATTGAAGCATCAAAACCTGTGGGAACTTTGTATGCAATGCGATCAGTAAATTCAACTGACAAGACAAAACTAAAAGAACGTCTTATATCATACAAGAAGAATTTGATAGAGACAGAGATATGTAACATGACATCTACGGTTGGCGTGCCAAATGTTTTTCTCGAATTTGGTTGGCTTCAAATCCAGCAAGTTTTACAAACATCTGACAGACTTTTTACAGTTGAAGATGTGCTGGAAAATGTTGAAATTTGGAGAAGACATCATGCAATTGCTATTATAAATGCAACCTCGTACCCAGGATCTTTCTTTGGGAAAGACCCTGGCTGCGGCTGGTCACGTGCTTCATCAAAAATTTAGCGCCTGAGGGGGTGTGGGGAAAGTATCAAATTACATCAACATGCTTCTAGTGGGATATTCGTTAAAAACATAGATTTTGCGAATTATTACGTTCAGAATACTTGCTAATTTTTGTTTATTTTCTTTGCTTTGAATTTACAAGAACATTGTTACATTCTTACTTACAGTCAAGCCAAGAAACCAAGCGAATCGTTACTCGCAGTGCTCTCTCGTGTTGTTATTCAATGCATGCTCTCTTCACACTCGAGCGCGGTTATAACAAACGTTTGTTGTAATGTTTTTAAAATAGGCCATTACATTTGTCCTTTCTTGTAAACGTTGATACGCTTTGCACCGATTCACTTGTTACTACGCGTCTTGTTTATAAGATTTTTAAAAGAAACAGTATTGTCTAGGACTGGCCCAAATATTAGCAAATGTAAACATTTGATAATAGCCGAACAGAGAAATGTCCATAAGCATAGAGGAAATTTCAGTCATTGATTTATCTGGATTTACTACATAAATTCGTATTCGGTAATTATAGTAAGACTTTAGCCTTTTTCTTGGTCTCTATTAATCATTATATTGTGCTAATATACTATAATCTAGACCAGACCGTCATTTGGCGTCATACGAATAGACATAAATTTTCGAGTTTTCTACTTCTACTAACATTTTTAAAGTTTTCATTGTGAATCACCTGTTTATCTCTAACTCATTAATCATTTGCTACTTATATTTATTTGATAGTGTCAATGTCATATAGTGAATAATGCGTTTACACACAAGCAATCCTGGATATGATATAAACGATGCAAGCTGTCCATTAAAAAATAACGGTATTCTATTTCACAAAGCAAAAATTTAAATCTCACTTGTATATATTAAGAATGCATATAAAGCAAAAAATTAAAGCTTATTCATGTCAAAACGAAAGCTGTTTACAAAATTTATAAAGGTGGTGAACACTACTACACTACTAAACAGTGCTCATTGAAAGACATGTATAATACAGTGACATATAATTTGCCGTTTGACTTATCTTTGGTGTATGATTTTAATACCGTAGATTTTCAACAGACAGCTATACTTTGACATATACCATGATCGTTGGATTCAGCAATGCCAAGGGCCAATTTTATAGTCTTTTGACGGGCTTTAAGTTTTTTGATAAGGCCTTTATATAGATCAATAATCTGGATACAGTTGGCGATATTTCGGAAATCAAAAGATCTCGCTATTTCGTTGCAATTCCACATCTCATCAATAAATAAATTCTTTTGGTCCGAGTATCAGGATAAACTTTAATACTAAATAAATAACAACCACACTGTTCGGTCTAGAGATATATATTTTCTTGTAGGTTTAATCACAGTTTAATATTGCCACGCTACACAAGCGGCAAGCGTGCTTTCTTTGGCAAGTCTGTAATGAAATCTGATCCAACTTGCTTGAATTGTAACTCGACACCAGATTATAGAGTAGAACGTCACGACATAAATATAATTCAAGAGTTCTCTTTATAATTACGATTTCTTGTTGCAAATTTACAGTAAATTTCATCACCCAAAGTTGCAATTTTAAAACGCTACAAACACTCTCCTTTCCCACCCCTCTCACAGTTACAATTAAATTTACCTCCCAGAATCTGGGAGGCACGTGACCAGCCGCAGCCAGGGTCTCTCCCAGATGACAGACGGAGAGACCCTGGGAACGAGGTTGTATACAGGTACGAAAGTCTCGAAAACAATACTGCTGTGCTCCCTTGGTCGGGTCCGTGTTTAGTTTTAGCCGTCGGTTTTCTGTTGACTTAGAAATTTTTCTTAAAATATTTAAAAAAAAATTTTCCCGACTTTTTTAACTATCAAATAGTTTATTAGACTTTATTGGTTAGGGTTAGAGAAGGGGTTGGGGTTGGGGTCAGGTTTATCTTAAATATTACGACTGCACTACGAATAGCAAATCAAACTCAGCGTACTGTTCCAATACGAATAGCCACGGCGAATATTTAATACATGAGTTCGGCAAATTACTATACTATCTATAGTTAATATTGCCGTATCTTCAGCGTACAGTTTTATACATGGAATGCACTCTGGAATTTTTTATTAATATATTACACTGTATAAAATATTGGATATTTTCGATGATATTTTAAGCCATTTGTCAACATAGTTCACAAAAAGATTTATACAGTATTAGAAACAATCCTTCTGTGACTTCTGTAATATTTTAAACAGTGAAAACATAGCAGGCAATATTGCCAATGAACAATATCAAAGGAAACTATTGGACAGTTCTCAGGAGATATTGAATTAAATCCTGGTCCTGTATTTCTGTATATTGACTCTGTAAGTCTGTTCAAAACAACAGTCCAACTATGAAGCTGTCATCAAATGTTGTGTTAGAGCAAAGGTTGAAGATGTTATCAGTTAAAATACTTACACATTTTGGTTTTACACATTAGAGTTAATTAAACAAATTTTTTACAAACATTTATAAATGTTTTTGTTTAGAGGTTAATACAACAATGAACAATAAATGTACTGGATATTGGCTGGATAATTTTGTCAGAAGAACCCATGCACTTGCAAGACAATCTTACCTAAATTCATTAGTATGGAAAATAACTTAACAGTTACAATGAATAATCATATATTATATGGATGGATTTGATCAATGGCACACAATGTACAAAGCTAAACTTGTGATACCTTTCACTCAAACCGATAATCTCCCACAACACAATTGTTTTTGTGTGAATGTGCTGTATATGTTAAACCGAACAGTGTGGTATATCATTAACTGTGCACAGAACTGGAATTGAATTATATACTTCACTCATGGCCTTCAAAACATTCTCAATTATTCAGTGGTCTTCGACATGTTCACCAAACATTTTGTGTAACGAGGTGACATTTTACTAAATAGCCGGCTGTATAGACACTTTGAATATTGTTTTTTTGCATGAAATTTTTATTTCCTGACTGCATAATTATCTGTTACAATCATAATCACATTATAAAATTAGTTATATTTTCTCGGCGGGGGGAGGGGCAGTTGCCTCTGTTCCCTTCCCCACTGTATACAGCCCTGTTAGATGTGTATTATGTTTCACTTTAAAATCTTATTTGCTATTATATTTATTTTAATAAATGATGAAATATTTAAATTGTCCCGTGTCATCTTCGTTAATCAGTTCCTTTCAAGAAAATACACAATGTGAATCAAGTTTTTTCGCAGATACATGTACGCCTCGAGTACCTATTTTTTTACTATGCAGAGCTTAATAAAGCTACATATTCGTTAATATGCATGGTCATGGCATGTTTTACTGCGGATTCAGGTAGACCGTTTAATGCGAATAGTTGTCGCGTTAGTTTTAACAGTTGTACGATGACGTTTCTAGGCAGATTTTCGACGTTTCTAAGGCGTGGCTTCAACGTTTTTATATCAATTTTTTAAATAAGTTAGGGTTACGTTAGGGTAAACCCAAAACTAAAGTTTTGAGTTAGGATGATTTTTTCTTCGTTATAAAAACGCAAACCTTATTTTGAAGTATACTATTAAGCAATTACCTTGTAAATACAACGTTCAAATTTTAAAAATGTTGAAGCCACGCCTTAGAAACGTCGAAAATCTGCCTAGAAACGTCATCGTACAACTGTTAAAACTAACGCGACAACTATTCGCATTAAACAGTCTACCTGAATCCGCAGTAGTACAAGATTACAACTGATAAAATTCAATTCATTGTAATGCAATTTTACTCGCGCGTCCGATATAAAACAGCGCGAAAACAACAGTGATGTCTGATTATTATTATTATTATGACAATATTTCAGTAGGAAGCTACACTCACAACAAGGTGATTTTCAGGCAGGTCCTACGATATCAATTAAAATACAAATAAAACTACATTATAATAGCATATATAAAAAAGTATGTTTAAAATTATATCAGCATAAAATCGTATATAGAGTTCTTAAAAGAAGTCAAATTGTTCGATTGTCTTTGGTCTAAATTAATATAGAGTTCTTATATAGAGTTCTTAAAAGAAGTCAAATTGTTCGATTGTCTGTGGTCTAAATTAAGGTTATTCCAATCAACGACTGCTTGATATATATAGCGTTGTTTTCCCCAGTTAGTACGCGAGCGTGGAAGATGTAAATCCTGCCGGCGGCGTGTGTTGTGGGAGTGAATTTCAACGTTTTGAACTAGGTTGAATTGATATTTTATATACTTATTTATACATTTATAAATACCAATACAACGGTGTTGGCGTCGACGTTCTGATAGAGGCATCCAGTTTAGCTGTGCGAGGGCTTCGGTACCGGAAAAGTATTTGGGATAATCCAGTATAGTTCTTGCTGCGTTATTTTGCAAAACCTGGAGATTATGCATTAGGACTTCATTGTTCTTGTCCCCCCACACAATATCTGCATAATCAAATAACGGTAAAATGAGACTGTTATATATCGCCAAACGACCATGTAGAGGCAGCAAATACTTAACACGACGCAGAACTCCAAGTCGTTGGCTGACTTTTTTGCTAAGGGCATCAATCTGGTCCGACCAAGACATATTTTGATTAAGTTTAATGCCAAGGTATTTGAAGGTGTCTCTACGTTCCAAGTTATGTGCGTTGATCTCTAATGAAAACTCACGGAATGAATTGAGTTTACGCGTGCTGCCGAAGATTACAAATTTGCTTTTCTCAGCATTCAAAGTTAAAAGATTGTCATTTAAATATCTGCGAAGGATTTCAAGGTCAGCATTCAAATTTTCCTCAAGTTCCGACAACGTAGAGGAAGAGAAATAAAGAACCGTGTCATCTGCATACATAGTCACTTTACACTTCTTAATACAAGACGGCAAGTCGTTCACGTAAAGGATAAATAGGAGTGGTTCAAGGACACTCCCTTGTGGAACTCCAACTGAGACATACTTTGCAGAAGAGGTAGCATTATCCACTCTTGTTACCTGTATTCTCTGATATAGGTATGATTTGAACCATGTTATAGTGGCATCAGTAAATCCAGCCTTCGATAATTTTGAAAATAATATAGAATGGTTCACCGTGTCAAAGGCCTTTGATAGGTCCAAAAAGACTGCTCCAGTGACAGCGCCTTTGTCCATATTATCAAGAATCGAGTCAGTAAAATGTATCAAAGCGACTTCGGTTGATAGATTTGGTCTGAAACCAAATTGCACTGGCGATAGAATCTTTTCATCCACAAGGTATTTGTAAACTTGGTGATGTACAACCTTCTCTAAGACTTTGCTGACCGTGGGTAGAATAGTGATCGGTCTATA